TCTCTCTCTCTCTCTCACACACACACACACACACACACACACACACACACACACACACACACACACACACACACACACACACACACAGACACACACACAAACACTCGAGCGCGCTCCCAAGCACACACCTTGCTTTTCTCTCCATTTGAATTCGTTCGATACTCTTATTTCGCTCTCCCTCCTCTTCACGCATCCGGCTGTCAATTAACTGGGCTGGTTTTCATTTACCCCACCGCCGTTTGAATAGGACGACCACAGAGGAGATTAGCATGGCCCTACACGGATGATACTCTACATTCTTCATTCTCCACACTCTTCCTCCTTTTCGAGCTCTTTTTCCTCCTCACGCTCTTCCAATCGAGGATCTCTTCCTCTTCCTCATCATCTTCGACCTACTCATTCCCTTGCTCCGCCTCTCTCTCTCTCTCTCTCTCTCCACCCAACCTCTGCCCTCCACCCACCCGATTTCTCTCTGCCGCGATTCCCATTCATCCCAGCCTCCTCCCTACCTTCTCCTCCTCCTCAACCTTCCTCCACCCAGACATTTCCCTCCCCTCTTTTCTTTCACCCAATATCTGCCTGACTTATCTCTCCCCCGACCTCCTCCCTCCCCTTATGCCAATCTCAGACTCCGCCTGACCTCCTCGCTCCCCACACCACCTTCCCCCCATTGCATCCTCCAAGACACCGACCCAGCCTACTCCCTCCATCCCTCACTCCTCCCCACCTCATGCCCCCTGCGGTTTGGCTGCCTTTCGTTATTAACGCCATCACATAAGAGGTGCATTTCGTCTTTGTTCTTTCCATGGACGTCAACGCTGCATTTCTTATCAAGATCTCAAAAAGGGTGCACAGCTGTAAGAAAGAGAGGGATAGAGAGACGGACACATTCCACCTAACAATCTTCGAAGCTCTTCCTTCCCCTTCACGCTCTTCCTTCCCAGCACCTTCTCCTTTGTCCGTCTCGTCCACCACCCGAAGTTCGTCTCCCTTGTCCTCAAGTTGTTCCTCTTCAAGGTTCTCCTCTCGCTGTCAAGGGGCGGCATTAAGATTAATCATCAAACTGACCCTCAACGGTTATTTCACGCCGTCGACATTCCTTTCCACAGTTCACACTCTTCCCCCCTGTCCCCTACGCCCACCACAGCACGTCAGTCTTCATCTCTCTCTCTTCCTTCCCGGCACCTTCTCCTTTGTCCGTCTCGTCCACCACCCAAAGTTTGTCTCCCTCCTCCTCAAGTTCTTCCTCCTCAACATTCTCCTCTCGCTGTCGAGCGGCGCCATTAAGATTAATCATCAAACTGAACCGCAACAGGTTTCAAGCCATCGACATTTCTTTCCACAGTTCACGCTCTTCCCCCCTGTCCCCTACGCCCACCACAGCACGTCAGTCCTCTCTCTCTCTCTCTCTCTCTCTCTCTCTCTCTCTCTTGCTTTTGCGCGCGCGCACACACTCAACCGTGAGCGTGTGCATGCTCACCCTTTTTCAGATCGACCAACTAAATCTGGTGTTCACGTAACTTGGGAAAAGAATGAGCAACAACATGCACTCTCTAGATCATGCACAAAGCAGGGAGGGACGGAGGGCGGGACGGACAGGGGACAACCGAGAAATAGGACGGAGGGAGGTCTGGAAGGGGGAGGAAGGACAGAGGTCCGAGCCCCAGGGAGGAAGTCGCGTGGCAGAGGGAGAAGCACCGATGCAGGAAAGGAGAGGCGGAGGAGGATAGGCCGAAAGACAGGGAGGTGATGGTCCCTATGGTACTCTCTCTCTCTCTCTCTCTCTCTCTCTCTCTCTCCAGCGCGCGTGAGAGAGAGCATGAGCGTGTGCGCGCTCGCTTTTTTTCAGATCGACAAACGTATCTGGTGTTCACACAAGTTGGGAAAAGAACGAACAGCAAAATGCACTCTCAAGATCGGGTATTAAGAAGGGAGGAAGGAGGCAGGGACGGAACGGGCGGGGAAGAGGAGGGAGAACCAAGGGATAGAAGGAGAGAGGAAGGACGGAAAGAGGCAGTAAGGAGGGACGGAGGGAGGGAGGTCGGACAGAGGGTCAAGCCCTAGGGAGGAAGTAGCGGGGCCGATGGAGAAGCGTCGAGGCATGAATGGAGGGAAGGAGGACAGGCCGAAAGAGAGGGAGGTGGTGGTGCCTCTGTTGCCCCTCTGTCTCTCTCTCTCTCTCTCTCTCTCTCTCTCTCTCTCTCCCGCGCCTCCCCCCGCCCGACTTCTCCGTCCGTTCCCAACTTCTTCCATTAAGCCCCTAACCCCTCTGTCATTCCTTTCTTAGAATCAATTCGCCAAAAAAATGCATCCTCTCTCTCTCTCTTTCTCTCTCTGTGGCTGCACGCGCGGGTCGAAAAACGAAATGCAGCGTTACGTCCACTGGGTAAAAAAGAAAGACGAAATGCACCCGCTAGGTTGGGCGCCAAGAAGGGAAAAGGGAGGGAGGGAAGGCGGAGCACTAAGGAAGGAAAGAGGGAGGGAGCGGAGCAAGGAGGATGGGAGGGAGGGAGGGAGGGAGGGAGGGTCGAGGGGGAAGGGCCAAGGGAGGGAGGACGGATGGGGATGTGAGGACCGAGGGAAGGAAGAATGGAGAGAGAAGGGCTGAGGAAGGAGTGGCCGAGGAGGGACCAAGAGAGGAGGGAGGGCCGAGGGAGGAGGCAGGGAGGACATCAAGCGGAGGTCGAAAGCAGAAAGGAAGTAGAGGGAGGAGGCAGGGAGGAGAGAGGGCGGAGAGGAGGAGAGCAGGTGGAGATCAGGCAGACATCGGACGGACGGAAGAAGGAGAGAGGTCACATGGAGGAAGGTAAGAGAAATGGAGACTCACTTGAGTCAGCCATGCCAACGAAGCCTCCAGTCAACAACGATCAACCAAAAATGCGCAAGCCTTCGACCATGATTTAGCCCAGCCCTCCAAGTTCCACAAAAGTAGACAATGCCTCAAGCACACGTTGCAGTAAGCCACATAGAAGTTCACGTAGCACGCAGGACAATTCACGTAGCACCAACCTCACGATTCAGGTAGCACCAACCTCACGAATCAAGTGGCACCAAGCTCAGATTTACGCTGCCAGCAACGATGCACGTAGGACGTAGCACTTCGCATGTGCAATGTGGCACGTACGTCAGAGCACGAACCACGTAGCATCGAAGCACAAAGTTCACGTAGCACGCAGGACGATTCACGTTGCACCAAGCTCATGAATCACGTAGCACCGGTAGCACAGAAAGAGCGACATGGAGAAGAACGAACCGCATAGCAAGCATGCAGCACGTAGCACCAAAGAATGATCCACGTAGCAAGCACGAAGCACGTAGCACCAACTAACGAACCACCTAGCAAGCAGTGGCGAGCACGGCACGTATCACCAAAGAACGGACCACGTAGCACCGGTAGCAGAGAGAGAGAGAGAGAGAGAGAGAGACGAACCAGGTAGCAAGCACGAACCGCGTAGCACCGGTAGCACACCGACTTACGTAGGTCAGATCACGAAGCATGTAGCACCAACGCACGAAAGACGAAGCAGAAGCACCAAAGCCCGAAGCCCAGCTCCTCGCGTTTTCAGACCAACTCACGTTGCACGTAGGTCAGCTCACGTCGCAGAGTAGCACGGAAGCACAGAAAGACAAGGCACATAGCACCAAAGCTTGAAGCCCAGCTCGTCGCGTTTTCAGACGAACTCACGTTGCACGAGGGTCAGCTCACGTCGCAGAGTAGCACCAAAGCACGGAAGACGAAGCACATACCACCAAAGCAAGAAGCTCGTAGCACCGGTTCACGTAGCACGGGGGCACAAAGAGAGAGAGAGAGAGAGAGAGAGAGAGAGAGAGAGAGAGAGAGAGAGAGAGAGAGAGAGATTGTGAGAGAGAGAGAGAGAGAGCTGGGTGGCGATACGGTAGCTACCGCCTTCTCCTGATCATGACACACCTTCCCGGTCAGGTACAGCCAGAATCAGGGTGCGTGGGGGGAAGACAGTAGGGCTCACCACATGCACAAAAGACAAAGTATGGCGATGTTTTTTTTTTTTGCCCCTTGCAAAACTTTGCAGATTTATTGCGGTGTAATTTTTTTTTAATTTTTTTTGGGCGATGGCCTTGAGGTATTATCATCAGACTAAACAGCCCAGGTAAATTCAATATTGTGTCTAATCTGACATTGGGTGGCCTTTTCAGCCCAGGGTGGCCTTGATTGCCTTCAGGGAACCCCTAATGGGGGACACCGGCCAGGGGACAGCCGGTAGCAAAGGGAGCGAGCATCATCTGAGTGGCCAGTCGCTGTGCCTCCCCGATTACCCCTCCCCCTATGAACATCAGCAGAGACTGCTTTTTAATGCCAATTGGGGGGACCAACGGACTATCTCTAGGTGGCGGGCACCAAGCATGCCCAGGAAGGTACATGAGGCCAATGGGGACTGAACCCAAGACCTCCTGAATGCCACTTGTGTGCCTTACCAACTGAGCTAGGCCGCTGGATAACCGTGTAAATTTCAATGTTCAAGCGTAAGATTCATTCTCAATTTGCACATTTTGTGAATAGGGGACCGATGCCCCTTATCTTTCCTGTTCAAGATCCACCGCCCGGCCCGACGGCGATTCATTGGACCTCCCTGCGCTACCCATGCCCGTTTTCTTTCCTGCTCGAGATCCACTGCCCGGCCAGCCGGATACCCCTTTTTTACCTGTTCGAGATCCACCCCCGGCCGGCCGGCAATTCATTGGGCCTCGATGCACTACACATGCCCGTTTTGTTCCTGCTCGTGATCCACTGCTTGGCCAGCCGGCACCCCAGAGAGGTCCGAACGGTAGCGACCGCGAGCGGCAAAAAAAACAACTACGAAGGGGAAAAAAAAAAAAAACGAAACAAAATAACGGCAGCCCTCGTCTGACAATGTTCAACACGCAACGCGCCGCGAGAAACGGGCAAAAATTTTACATCCGACGGCCCAACCCGATCATCAGCAGACGAAAACAGTAGAAAACAGCCGCGTCAACCGCGTCAGAATTCACATCGGACGTCTCCAAATCTTTCATCTGAGGGCTGGGCGCGATCGTGGGAAAATCACAACGTGCCAACATTTCAACCATGCAGAAAGTTAAAGCAAGCCAACAACCGCAGATCACACATCCCACGGTCGGCATCCCCCAGCGGCATCCACGCAAGGAGCCCGCGTCCGATAAGCTTTAGTAGGGGGAGAGATGATGTGAGGGCACTTACCTTGTATTGGCAATGATCAGCATATGGGCGACATCTTCAAGTACTTCGGGTTGCCGCTGATGTCAACAGTTGCATTGTCAATTATTAGGCTGGGTGCTGAGCGCCAAGTAGGAGTGTGAAGGGACTGGACTTGTGTTGCTGAAGGAGAGAGAAAGCTCTCCATGACATTGGTTTTCAGTACTACGAACCTCCATTGGTGTATTATTGGTGCAATGCTGCTCTCTGGACACAGTGTGACTATCTGGCTTTTAATGTGATGGTGTAATCTGGATTTGTCATCTCGCTGTTGCTTATTTTCCTTGCAGTTTTGTTTTCCAGGTTGTTTGTGAAGGTATTCCCGGCCTCCTTTTGTGCGGAAATAGAATGGGCTGAGTCTTTTGTTATTAAAAATTTAAAAAAAATAAAAAAAAGAGAGAAAGACAGACCAAAGAGAAGAATGGGCAAAGGAAGCCATGATGATGGTGCCCTCTTTGCATTTATTTCTTCACTTTTTTTTTTCTGGGTTTCCTTTGTTTTTCCTCTTCTTGCACTTCTTTCCCTCTTTGTGTAGTGGGGTGCAGAGGGAGCAGCGAACCAATGAGATCAGAACAACCTTATCGGCAACTACAGTCTATTTTTTTTTCTTGTTCTTTTTTTTTATTATTGAACATCGATGACGGGGTGTAGGGAAGGTGCTGATAGAGCAGACACACCCTCTACTATCCACGCTCGTTAGATGGCTCCTTTCCATTGGTGGGAGCTGCACCAACTACCATCTTCACCCGATCAGAAAACGGGGCCACTAATACCTTTCTCAGCCTTTTGGCTAACAACAAGTGTAGTATCTGTTCTGAGCGCATTAATATATCTGATCCATGGTCCATCGGGCCACATTAGAAAAAAGAAAGAACATCGGGTCACTTACAATAGCTGCATTTGGTGCAATTTCAGTATAGATAGGTTGAGGTACAATGACCAGGCGTTCCATTCGGGTGAAAACGGTAGGACAGGAGCAATGTGGATGATGTGTGTAATTATACCGTAATAAGCGACGGGATACACGACGCATGACGAATGAAGTCGCACAGAGAGCGCAGCATAAACAAA